ACTTCAGACCTCATCATTACTGTACGTACGCCCTCAACTTACCAGCAGAACAAATGTCAGGATTTTCATCGCTATCGTCATTACAATTTTCAATATCATCGCAAACTACATCTGAGGTGATACACATTGTACCATCACTGCACATGAAACAGTCACTGCTTTCTAAAATTTAAAGAAACAAAATATTACCGGTAAGATTTAAAAACGTAATTCATACCATATAGGCATACAACAATATATGATTGACGAGTTGTGTGCTTCTATTAATAGGCTGCCACGCTTGCGCTGAGCTGTAAATAATAATAATATAGTTTCCTTGTTAATTAATAAATGATATAGGCCTATACATTTATTTTCGGTTTTATAAATATTTTCTTCTTGGAAAGCCAATCTATCGGTTCTGTAAAATTGTCATTTTAATATGTTTTCTAATTTATTGTGTTTATTCGTTTTAAAAAATTGATGAAATAAACTGAAGATTTACTATGTTAACGACATACGATTAGTGATAACCAGTAACTTCCCGGAGGTCATATATAGCTGTCTACCAAACCGTGAAATCAAATCCCTTACAAATGAATTAATAATTTCTTGTCAGAGAACAAATATAATACAATCATATAAGGTCATTACAAACTGTTTGTATTCGCATAAATGTAATGTCACAGTTACTAAAACATGCACACAACGTAAGTTTATAGATTGACCTTCGATAAGGGCATGCGCAGTTCAAACTATGAACTGGCTTATAGGCTTATATTAAGAAGCTTTCGATTGCACGTCGACGACGGTAGGACGTAGAACGTAATGACGTCAGTAAAAGTCATCTGCGCATGCGAGAACGTTAAGGTCACCTATAGTCGAGTAGATTCTGGAACGCAATTTGGCCAAATCTACGTCTGCAACAGAGAACGTAGGACCCAGGTAGGACGGTCACGCATGAGTGATTCCGTTCTAGCGTCGCGTGGTCGCACAAATCGAAAGCTCCCTTTTAAACATTTTAAAGCAGAAAACGATATTATTTATACCTTCAGTTTTGAACGTCGTATAGGTGAATATGAATCCAAAATCCTTTTTAGATTCGACGCCATCGGAGAAAAACCGGACAGCAATTGCATTTGTACTTGATTTATAATCATTTGGAAACTTTCCCGTACCACCGCAATACGTTTTGTCAGCAGGCTGGCTAAAGAAATCTTTCTTTGTCATGTCTCCACTTTCGTAGATCATTAACTTATCTCCTGAAATCGGGTTGCAATTGCTGCTTTCCTTGTCAAAGGATGGATGCAGATCGAAGAATTCGAAGCGTAAGTTTATCTGTTGTCCTGGCGGAGCTGATATGAGGATTATGCAGTCTTTGGACATATGGTACGGTTTTTCAGTGACGGACCTGTGTGACGAAATAATCGCCGATGTTTTGGTGATGTTTCGTACGTGCTCACAATTCGCATCCTGGATATATACTGAAAATATAAATAAAATAATCATTTTAGTTAAATTTATGTTTTGTAACGCCCAATTAAAAAGGAATTTGCCCCTGACATAACAAGTATGCATATAGTTCCATAATAGAGAGCACTCAACTTACGGACTAAATAGAATATAAACAAACAGAACACCGCTGCTAATCCTAATGTAGATTTTCGGCGGTGATGTTAAGATTACCAAGAAGTACGTAAGCAAACCCAGTTTAAGTTCAATATAACATTAATTTATCCAATAAAGGGAAATAGTACTACAGTATAAATAGCAGTTATTTTGAACGTAATGTATTAGGCCTAACGTTTTTCTAATGTTAAAAGCATATTCAATTTAATTCAATTTCTTTTATTGCTACAAGTGCCATTAAGAGCCAATATCCGCACAAAAAAATACAATACAATGGTAACTATGCATCATGGGGTAGGGACGCCACACACGCATGAAAACAGTCTCCAAAGACCTTCGACATATAAAAATATATAAACGGCCACTTGAAACTACGAAACGGCTTTCGATTCATTTTTTTCTCTTTTGTAGGAGTTTCATCCACTTTTATTTCATTTCTCTTTTTTTTCATTTTCTTAACATTGTCTACGCATACAGTAGGCCTAATAAGATAAAATAATAACAAACATAACTTACATCAAGCAAACTAATATACAGTAATCGTGTTTTATTCTTATGAATGTAGGCTATTCCTTTCATTTTTATGAAAGAAATATATTCACACATTAATATCTCATTTATATAATGGTAAGACATTGTTAATATTGTTTTTAAAAATAAAGTTATATCAAATATCTCAAAGGTAATTCATTTATTAACAGGGTATTAACTGAACTAAAGTTCATTTTTTTCAGAGATTTCAGAATTTGCTTTATACAAACAGAAGGAGCCTACAGTTATGAGATTATTTATATACGGCTTATTTTTCGAGTTATAACATTATCAAATGTTATTTGCCGGAGTGATCTAATAATTGATTCCCATACAATTTGGCATTTAGACATTCACAGAGTAAATGTTTTTCATGTTAAACTTTATTACATAAAATGCATTTAACAGTGTTCATGACGTTCCACTTGTGAAGTCTTTTAATTGTCCGTAGAATTCCATGTAATAATCTAAAGTTAAAGTGTGCCAGCATCCTTTCTTATATTTTGGCGACCCTTTTTGTCCAAATATATATATATATATA